TTAATTGAGACGTCGCCAGCTGGCTCTGCCTGCATACTCACTTTCCTGTTGAATGCCATTTCTAGTTTTTAGTATGGAGTATAGATCCTCTCCGGATCTAAACAATTGGAGGAACCTAAAGATCAAATGATTCGGATCGTTGAAATTTGATTAACGATTATGATTATTATAACTTTAGAAGATTCATATTTGTAACCGTTGGATTAAATTTCAACGGTCTGGACATTTGATCCTTGGGCTTCATTTTTTTAGATCCGAAAAGGATATGTACTCTTTAGTATGGATCGGGGCATAATGTACGGTATAACTTTTTAGTGCTAATTCTCCATTGGTGTACATCATGTACTGGAGCATCGTAGGATTTTTGTGACCTTAATTAAGCTTGTTATCTTGATAATGTGGGCCCCTGCAGTTGTGATCTTAGCAGATTACAGTTGCAGTTTTAGGATTTAATTCTATAAATATTGAGTGCAGACAGAAATGGAATTCAAATCCGTCAAATCGTCACGTGAACATCTCTTTCATACCAACTAGAGAATCAAATTAATTTTTGTTTAATTTTATTGATAAAAAAATGGTTTTCTTGGCAATTTTATTGATTAATCAATTTTTTTTATGTAGTAATTTTGATTAATTGATTTAAAATATGCACGGAATTGCAGGAGTGCGCAGCTGCAATTGGAGGAAACTGAGAAAGGTGGAGTGCGAGCAAAGTGCATTCCCAGGAAACCCAAAGGAATACCCACCAAGAGAGAGATCAACCACATCGCCTCTTGTAGTGATGGTAGTTGTACTAGTAGTAACGGTCATGTAGGAGGGAGCAAACGACTCGAGGTTCATCAATAAGCTGCGGAGCTGTGTTACGGCCAGTCGTCTATACATGTCATGCACACATCTTTTTAGCAGATAGAAAGTGGTTAACACAACCAGAAGTAAAGTATATGGGGGGACATTGAGACCCTAAAATTTGAAAAATAGCGGAATGAATGATAACGAGAAGCATAGGCAAAATACGCCGCCGCGGCGGCGGCGGCAGCGTTTTAGGTAGCACATTGCATTTCACGGCACAATGAGCGTAAGCTTCGACGAGGAAACAAAGCATGGGGCGTGGGAATCTTACGAAAGCTAGAAGAGTTGAAGCTGCGTCTTGGTTTCTATGGGGGACCGAAGGTTGTGCCTTGATTTATGTGAATATTTGCTAAAGTCTATGCCCTTGTTTTGAGTTTTTGACCTTGGGACATGGGTAATAGAAAGAATAATGTCCTCCTAGGCATCCAAAACGCATCGTTTTCGACCACCCACGTGAGCCGTGTTTTGGAGATTGGAGAGGTAAATGGTTAATGTTTCCTCCTCCAAGAAAGAAAGACATGGGGAATTCGCTTGTGGTTCTTTATGTAGTAGGCAATTGAGGGTTTTGAGTGTAGGAATGATGTAGAAAAGTAGAGGTGCTTCTATATATGGTATTAGAGATATGACATCATAATTTCCAATTGTCCATGCTTGTGTTCATCAAGAATGTACCTCTTTTCTTTCCTTTTTTTCCTTTGTTTATTTCTTTTTCATTTCTTTTTCAGTGCAGATAATGGTTTATGATTGCGATGAGCGAATGATATGACTATCTCTTACTTTGAAAAGACATAACAATTGTGATCCTCCACGTTTTGTAACAACATTAATATAGTATGAAAAACAATCTTGTTCTTTTGGTCACTTGGTCGGTGACCAATGTTTAATGGCGCCGACTTTTGATTTGACATCAAGGGTGAGGAATAGATAGATGCGTTCTTAATGTTTTAGTTTCAATTCTTAATATCAAATTCAAATACGAGTGACCGTACATTTATTGGTAGTTTACTAGAACTTTTCTCCACAAACAAAAAGAATATATCTACTTAGTCGCTCACATGAAATGTATGGCTCTCTAACATTTTTACTTAATATTCGGTCTTTTCTTAAAAATTATTATTGCCATTTTAAAATAGTCGTCATGAATGTCAATATTTTAATTATTGTTGAGATTATCATTTAGTACTACGGTCTTGTGGTATTCATCTTCACTTGCTAGTAAGAGGTCTTAGGTTTGATTATCGCCAAATGCAATTTTGAACCACATTATTGTTAACGCATCGTGAGACTAAACCCATTATCTTTTCCTTAGTGTAACTAATATCGTTTATTCAATTTATGTATCAATACATAATGCTAGCCCACTCCTCTCTCTTTCTCTTGTTCCACTTCTCCCATTAATGGTTTGGGCTGTTTTATTTCTGCCTTCCCCGAGTTGAAAGTAAATCATCAGTCCAAATGCACTTTCTGGGCTTTATCACCAAAATCAAAGCTATTATTTTTCTTGCTTCCATTCTAATTCGAATGCCATTTTTTATGAACGATAGAATAATTACATTAATTTATCTAAATTATCACGAAAAGAGATCCGAACTTGCATGCAGATACTTCCGTAGCCAACTTCACTAAAATCTTTTATTTTCTTTTTCACATTTGATCAACAAGGGATTTCAGACACTTGTAACTAGGCTAAGAGCTAGTTAGTTGGTCCATAAAACCTTACACAAGTTTAGACATTTGATATAAGAGGAAACACTAACTATTATCCTTATCACAAAGGGCGTTTGTAGACCAAGGGACAGGAGCACTAATTCTTGCACCCAAGGTCTTAAGTTTGACTCTTCCCTCCTTCGGTTTTGTTTCTCTCAAATTTTTATCCGTGTGCATTTTAGACTGGTACTCTAGGAAGCTGTACCTAGCAATCTAAAATAGTCATTATGCACTCTTTCTTGCTATTTGAGAATCTGGCTTAGCCGAACATTGGTTGTGGTTCCATATCAATATATTAACTTGAATGGTTATTGAACTCTGGTTTCTATAATTGTGTAAATATGAACATAAATGTTAAGGGGCCATTTGATAATGATTTCGTTTTCAGTTTTCAGTTTTTAGTGAAATTGAAAACTGAAATCTTGTTTAGTAACTATTTTCAGTTTTTAGTTTTCTAAAAAAATGAAATTGAAAACCAAAATGTGAATATTCAATGCCAAATTTGGAAAACTCAAGAAAGTAGTTTCATTTTTTATTTTTTTTGAAAACAGAAAATTGAAAGTAGTTACCAAACAAGAATAAGTTTTCAATTAAAAAAAAAACCGAAAACAAAATGATTATCAAACTACTCCTAAATTATTATGTATAATTCGGTACCGAAAATAACTAAGAATGTCTCTAGATAAAAACGTTCATGTCTCGCCACGATGTTCATAACTTGCTACATCCTACAGTCATTTTCAGAAAATGACGTAAAAATCAGTGTACGATTGAACAGCATCTGAGTCCATGTGCCCTTGACGCTCGTCGACAAAAAGGTTTATGGTCGATATGATGTGTAAGAAAATGACTAAGAATTACACTAGTGACAAATGAAAGAAAACATGTACATTAACGAAGATAGATGTTGTCGTCTGTTCTTTGTAAGTCCTAGAGTAGGAGAAGACTTGTATGGTAAGGATAAACAGTTACGTTAATTATATAAAATATGTGTTAGTTTCTTTTTACGTTCTTATATCATTGACATTAGACATTACCATGATATGTACCCGTGTCATACAAGTTGTTTTTCTTAAATAAGTCAATGTTCGTTCAATATTAGTATCCCTTCAATATATTTTTTTTGGTCAGAAGTATCCATTTGATATAAGCCCCATAGCAGGCGCCCCATGCTTACCAGATGATGATGAATTGTATGCGCAATGTGTTTACTTACCAAAAAATAATAAAAAAGATTAGTGTAAAACTTATCGTTATAGGAGTTGACTAGACCGTAGTGCTTGTGGCGGGCCAAATTAAGTAGATACTCTTCACTTCATGGGGCAATTTTTGTTTGAAGTTACAAGATATTTACAAATATTAGGATTGGGTCAATCAATACTTTGTGGTTGTAAGAAGAAATCAATCAAGGAAAATTATGGTAAGCGATATCGACATTTGTTGTAGAGGAAAATTGTTTTTAGAAGTTTTAGTTGAAGAGGAAATTGTTTTCATTGACTTATAAAATTATTTATTAACCTAAACAAGTTTCCTACTATTTCATATACGGAAATATATTTTCATGAAAATAATTTTGTTTCATAAATATATTTAATACAACCATATATTTACATTAAAAGATTGAGATTTTAGATTACACGTTAAATGATATATTCATGTAGTTGTATACGTTTCCTTTATTATAGAAAAAGGAAAAAGGGAGAAAGAAGGAAAAAAATAGTTGTGGTGAAGAGAATTTTTTTTAGAATAAGACTAAATTTGTAATCTAAATGACGTGTCACCAATAGGAATAAACACGTTTGTCAACGTTTAAGTAATCAATTAATCATCAACTTTCATGTAATTTAATTTTCAAAACTTTGTCTTCAAATTTAGTCTCCCTAGCATTATTCATTTTTTAATGTGTTGAAAGCACGGCTCGGAACACCACATGTCATATATATAATTAGTTGAATTTTTTTTTAAAGTTCAAACCAATTACGATATCACATTTACCGTATCAGATTGTGTCCAACCAATTATAATATTACATTTACCGTATCAGATCGTGTCCCGTCATGCTGAAAAATTCTCGTGGTAGAAGGCAAAATATCCACTTTTCCACGTTGCCATGTAGTGTATAACAGAATTTACACTCCTTTTACCAAATCTAAGAATTGGGCCACGACTTGGAGTTAATGGCATATTGGTCATTGCACATATTAACTTGACCCTCAATTTGTTCATCCGACACATAAATCGAAACCCATGAGAAAATTTGCTTTCTGGTTTCCCCATCGTTTCTCGAAATTTGAAGGCAGTCTCCAACCAATTTAAAACCCTCTGTAAAGTTCACCCTCTCTCTCTCTCTCTCTCTCTAAATTCTGTGTATTTATATTTATAGTGTGGCTATATATATATATATATATAGACAGATATATCGATATATAATCTGTAGCAAAAGCAGCAATGCCTATGTCTCTCACTCGCGTTGCCACATTGTCCTAAACAAACACAAACCCACATGTCAAAGTTTGGATTTTTCTCACCTGTAGTTTCGTCTATTTATTTCATCGAGGCTCTCCATTTTTCTCTATTTTTCCTGCACGTTTCAGAACATCCGTTGAAAACACACACTGCGAGTAGCAACAGCTGTTCAAAAGCACTTTTGCATGTTGCTGCTTTTGCTCATTCTCTGTTGATCTCTCTGCTTGTTGTTCAGCACGTATATTGTGTCATGGCAGATGGGTTTTTGATATTTTTATGAATTGCATCAGGGGTTGTCTTCTTCCTGTTGTTTGGAGCTGGAGGGTTTCTGGGTTTTGATTCGATTTAGTGGTTGTGGGCTGTGCGCTGATGGGTCCTGTGAGAGGGATTAGGAAGAGAAAGAAGGCTGAGAAGAAGGGTGAGGAGAATGCTTCTGGTTCTGGGTCATCAGAGAAGGAAGGTCCTGTGGATTGGTGGGATGAATTCTCCAGAAGAATTAATGGTATTGTTTCCCTTGATATTTTGATTGCTTTTTTACTCTATTTGTTTTTGCTTTGTTTGTCTATTTTTGCTTTATGATGTGCTGCTTTATAGTCAGCTTTTTTCAACAGTTATATTATGTTGATTGTGTATGTGCTTCTAATGTTGAATGGACTTCTGGTAAATTGATTCTGTCTAATTCAAATTGGTTTATGTTTTGTTCCGCATTCTACTTCTGTGTCGATATATTGCGAATGCGTTTATGCACGATGAAGAAGGATCCCTAATCTGAATTTGACCTAACATTCTGGCTCATTGCCTTCTTGAATATTAGAAAAGATAAGATTAATTATACTAAGTCTAGGATAAGATAAGATTAATTATATTAATTATGTTCTGTCTAACTCAAATAGGTCCTTCTACAATGCCTGCAGCATTTATGCATTTTATAATTAACAGGACGGTTCATTGTTATCGGATTTATGCAATCAGGAACTCAAAGGTATTTAACTCGTAATATAACATTTGAATTCTGTGAAGAAGTTTGCTTGTGTGAATTCTAGCTGTCTTTCTACCTTTGTTTTCATTACTGATCATCATACTTAACGACTGAACAATAGCACTGCTCGAAGAACACCCATTTAATCCGAAATCTTGGGGTAATGATAGTATGTACTAGCTATTAAAGATGGCAGTTTACCGTCCACATAGAAATGATCATCTTACGTGATGACTGACACCGTAAAAGTTTAGACCAAAAGTTCAGTTATCTTTTTAAGTTTGGAAATGCCGATAATCATTAGTTTGAGTGTTACACGATGTGGGAATTGATAAAGTGTCGAGCTGGTTGTAAAGAGACTTAGGTACCAAATGTTTAAAAGTTTCTCCATTATTCAGAAGGTATATCCCTAGTGGTACAAGGAACTTAAAAGAAACATAATACTTTTAGGTCTAATTTGATTTGATATGCAGTTCCGGGGCTGGAGTGAAATTCACAAAAGAATACTTAATCATGGAGTTATTTGAAGTTTTTTTTGTTGTTGTTGATTTTTGTATATTACAAACCATTTCTGTGTTCCTTCTGAAATTGTCTCAGAAGCTGTTGGTTAATTTGGAGGGCACTGGAGATTGATTGTGCATACAACTACCCTCGATGTGATTTGAGATAGCCAATGTATATGTAACTGTAGTTGCCTATGTCAAGTTTGTGATCGAACATAAGGCATATGCCCGGCCCCGTTAAAAATAAAAAAGAAAGGAGGAGACAAAGTGCTTCTTCTTGGTAAGAATAATATTTGAAGACCTTGAAATCTGCAATCTATATTTCAAGTTCAACAGACACAAGGGTATCTGAGTCAGATAAGCGTGAAAACTATATTAATATGGATGAACATAGTCACATGTGTAGGGAAAGAGACCAAGTTTATAACTAGAGTAATTTGTTTTATACCAGTTAGAGTTAACGCGGACAGAAATAAAAATTTGATTCATCATTTGTACAAGTATTGTACTTCATGGATTGGTAAGCCTCAAAGATCATGAACTGTACCATCCTTAAACCTATGAGCAATATCGGAAGTGTGTATGTATTTTGTAAATTCCCTTCGCGTAGTTAGAGGTTAGGTTGTAACTGCATTGACTTTGCCATTTTCACCATGGTTTGTGGTTCCTCAAGTAGTGACCGAATTTACGAGTGAGTCTTCTTCTGTGCAAATTATCAGCCAGATTGCTATCATAAATTATCAAAATTGTTACGGAGAAATGCAAACAAATCAGTTTCGTGTTTTGATATAACTGACATATCAGTTTGGATGAGGGCTTTGATGCGTTAATTATACATCTGTGACACTTACCTTACGCTTGGATGAGGGATTTGAAAAAAGTATATCCTGATTATGCTGGCTCCGCTATTTCCATTCAGTTTTGCACTTGGTTCCATAAAGGAAGGATCAAAGTTTATGCTTGAATAATTTGATCTTGATATTTGAGATTACTGTTACTTCTAATGTTGTAAAACACTCCCATAAAGCATTCAAAGTCACCTCTAAGTACTTCACGTTTGGGGATAATAATATTCCTCTTTTCTTTCCCATCCTGTTTGCAGGTATGCAGTCTCCATCAAAGGTTTTAGACAAGTTTGAATCTGTTTTTAAGCTATCCAGGAAAACCTTCGAGTACATCTGTTCACTTGTGAGTGAAGATATGATGGCAAAGTCGGCACATTTTGTGTTTACAAATGGTAAGCCCTTGTCTTTGCATGATCAAGTCGCTGTAGCCTTAAGAAGATTGAGCTCGGGTGAGTCACTAGTGACAATTGGTGATTCGTTTGGGGTGAACCACTCAACTGTGTCTCAAGTGACCTGGCGATTTGTCGAAGCCATGGAAGAAAGAGGACTTCACCACCTGCAATGGCCTTCCACTGAAGCAGAAATGGCAGAAGTTAAATCCAAATTTCAGAAAATACGAGGCTTTCCCAATTGTTGCGGAGTTGTTGATACCACTCACATCATGATGTGTTTGCCTGCTTCTGACCCCACAAGTAACGCGTGGCTCGATCAAGAGAAGAATCACAGCATGGTCTTGCAAGCCATTGTGGACCCTGACATGAGGTTTCGGGACATAGTTACCGGATGGCCAGGAAAAATGAAGGACTGGTCGGTGTTTCAGAGTTCGAATTTTTATCAGCTCTGTGCTAGAGGTGAGAGATTGAATGGGAAAAGGTTAGAGCTCTCCACAGGATTGGATATCCGGGAATACATACTCGGGGACTTGGGGTTTTCTTTATTGCCCTATCTCGTGATCCCCTATGAAGGGAAAGAACTCCCAGAGCCGAAAGCTCAGTTCAATAAGTGGCATTATGCTACGCAGAAGGTAGCGCAGAGAGCATTGGCGAGGTTGAAGGATAGGTGGAGGATCATTCAGGGAGTGATGTGGAGACCTGACAAACATAGATTGCCGAGGATCATTCTCGTTTGCTGCTTGCTTCACAACATTGTTATAGATATGGAAGGCGGGGTTCAAGACGAGATGCCTCAGTCTCACAAACATGACTCAGAATACCGCCAACAGATTTGTGGAACTGTTGACATAAACGGCGTTCATCTGAGAGAAAAGCTGTCTCTCTACCTGTCTGGAAGAAGGATGCCAATGCCACCTTGATTTTGTTTCTTTTCCGTTTTCTTATGAGTGTTAGGTATCAAAGACAGTTGTAGTCTTCAGTTTTAAAGTTGTTTTCGCGACATATTTCATACCGAAAATTATAGAGCTGAAGTCGGGTTTTCCCGAGTTTTGGTTTTGACTTGTGGGCTGTTTATTTAGCAGGTGAGCCCCTGACAGTGATATTGTATTGGAATAAACATTAAGTTTTCTTAGGATATGATCCAAATTGTGTTATCGTTTAGGCATTGTCGTTTCGATGTCGTATTTCTCAGTTGAATGATGTGCAAACTGCTCCTGTATTCTACAACACATCTCTCTATCATACATCTACAGATCTCTAAAAAGTTAGGATCTGGGAAAACATTATGTTACATGAGTTTGGATGAACAATCATAACTTAAAACCTTGCTACACTAACGCTTGCACCAGAGACGGATGATACAAAAGTCTCGGACCACTTTTGCTTTACAAAATCCGGGACCTTAGAGTCGTCCATGAAGGCGTTCCACATATTCCCCCCAGGACCGCCGAGGACCCAATTAACCTTTGCCGGTGGGATGGGCTTGGAGGGTCTATCATAATCGCCCGAAATATTTCTCTTCACTGAACTAGAAATAACTTTCTGGGACAGGATCTCGCCCAAATTGTTCATCTTTTGAACGCCAGAGCCAGGCGAAAGCTGAAACACAAGCGAAACTCGACAAGGTCAAGCTTAATGGAGGAGAAAATAAGCTTTTGTTTGATCAGGAATTGGAAAAGAACTTACACCAGACTTGTTGGCAGGCATCAATTCCTTGAGGGGAAAATCTTCATTTGCTTCTGTTAGGTATCTCTCAACAGATAATAAAGAACGGAACCGCTTTCCAGTCCCTGTCTCAATATAAGACTGCAACACCCGAAAAAAGTATTAGGTTTCTGGAGTGCGGTGTACAAGAACCAACATCACAATGTTTTCTTTCAGAACAAATGGATCATAAAAAGAAAGCCTTATTTGAGCATATAAAATGTCTGCCAGGAGAAGTTTATCAAATGCCAATTGTTATGCCAACTCAACAGAGAAAACAGCATATCCGTTATAGAGACTTGCATGAAATGGGCACGCCAAATTGGCGGTGTCCCAAAACTAACATGTGTGGCCAAGTGTTTTACCTTCCCACATGTCAATGTGCCTTTGACATTTTCCAATAATATATGATAACAACCATTTTGCATGGTTAATGTAAGTAACTATATTGCAGAATACATATGTTTCGGTGAAGTCAGTGACCCAAAAGAGCAATCAGCTTTAGAATAGTATGCATAAGATGTACATGTATATATGCACAGATGACCCAGAAACGCACATCCTTGCAATTTCACCCAGTATTTAAAGCATGTACGGCTAGATATACCCTTTCTACAACATAGAAGAGAAGAACCACCAAAACTATAATGAAAAAGAACAAATACCCTGTCTATGTGACCAGAATAATTGATATTGCTTCGTGGCTTCTCCTCAACTTCCCAACCATCAGGTAGTACAAAGGATGAACTGGTCCTCCTGGTGCGTGGCGTCAGCAGCATCTGCATTGACACTGTCAATAAGGATTTTTCCCTAATATTTTAGGCATCGCAATCTTTTCTTCCTCAATTCGGACCGCTGTAACGGTGACCAGAGATACTTGTAACATCCATTTATTTTAACTCCTTCATCATGGTTATCTTTTTCAAACAGTTTTACTAGATTGTAATTTTATTACATCTTCAAATATATAAGAAAGCCGACCCCACTTAGTGGGAAAAGGCTTTGTTGTTGTTGTTCAAATATATAAGAACAAATGAATTAGTTCTGGAATCATATTGAAGCGTATGGTAACAAAACAAGGAGAATTTAAAAAAAAAAAAAAAATCACTTTGACAGTTATGGTACCTCAATCTAGTGGTCCATCAAGTAAACCATGCGAGTGAATCCAAAGGTGTAGAGATTTTGTATATTTAGTGCAGAGGATACAAGGGGGTGATGAACTAAGCATAACTTATGTTTCCTCTGTTTCTAAATATTACCTGTAAATCATGGAACTCACATTACATTCATTGCGTGGTTTTGATCTTATGGTACGTTGTTCGATTTGCCCTTCTGTTAGGTATCTCTGAACAGCTGCCAGCGAACGAAACTTCAGTCCAGTGCCAGGCTCATAGTAATACTGCAAAACAAAATAAAAGGTCTGAGACCTGGCCACATAAGATCTAATAGAAGAACTTCAGAACATAATAATCTTTCTGGTGAATTTTCAATAAAGAAACATTAGACATGGCAACGTTAAGTAGGTGTGGTAGGAGAAGATTTGTACAATTCACTTAACAGAGAATGGAAATTCTAAAGCTGCACGGATATTATTGATTATCATTACAACTGCACCTAAAATTCTACAGTACACCAATGTATGACATACATTGCTGAATTTAACCGGTAGATGTGATCCACGTAAATCATAAAAGGCATTGTATACTATGCCGTATGGTAAAAGGACTCTAACTGCAGATAACATAAAGTTTCATTTCCAAAAAACTCATAAAATCCATTTGCATAGTAGTGCAAACGGTTACCACGCTGTTGTTCTGCGTGGCCAAAAAACCCAATGTGGGCAATGTGGGATGTGTAGCATAAACAACTGCTGTTGCTCAAGCATTATGCTTTCTGGATGAAATTTACGGTCACTTTAGAAGAACACGATGAATGGAGTTTCTGAATTCAAAGTTTGATTCGTAACAAGTTATCGGTGTTATTCTGTAAGATCATTAAGATGTACCAATTCAAAAGTTTCACGGCCAACAGTAAATTAGAGAACACGTGCAACAGATAAGGGGAAAACACACAGATTTTAAATCATAAAGCATGTGCAACAAAAATAAAAAAAATGTTACAAATAAATAAAAATTTACAAGGTTTTAGCAAAAACCCAAATTTCTTTATTTCTAATTTTTAACCAAGCTCCTTTTATTAACCAAAAAAAAAAAAAAAGATAAATATGTTGGACAAGATCAATTGGCACTAAATAAACAAATTTGACATGATCAATTCAGTCAAAATTTTCCAGTTTTTCACTCTGCAATGATATTTGCCCACAAACCCATAATTAAAACCATCCCAGAACCTCTAAAATGCTGGAAAGCATATGGATTTTAGCACCAGTCAAAACCCTGGAAAAACCACAAAAATCCATACATGCGTACATCCACCCATGATCCATGATCCATGCATGCAAAGGATATACATTGTACATGCATTTCCAATTAGAACAATTCTACAGAGAGAGAAAGAAAGATCGAACCTTGTCGCTATGGGTTTGGCGCGGGTTGGTAGAGCTAGGGGGACGGGGCTTTTCCTCAACCAACCAACCATCGGGGAGTCTGAAGGACCGGGAGGTGGTGACCAATTGCAATTGCCTTTTGCTGCCACTGCTTCTGGGTTCTTCTCCTTCTTCCCCTGGCCTCATTGTTAGCAGCGGAATCGGCTCCGACTGTGACGATTCCCCCTTCACCATCATCACTGAGCTGTCACTGTAGCAGTTTAGCAATGTGCTTGTTTGGGGGTCTGGTATTAAAGTTAACCGTGCCTTGGACCAGCAGAGCCCAAGAAACGAAAAAAGTGGAATCGGGTCTACAGAGCGTGACAACGCAGTATGATTCCGGTTTCATAAGAACTATTTGGACAATTTTCCTATTTTATTGGCAAATGATTATACTTGGATTGATTTATTGGTGATACTAGAGACGTAGATCATATTTTGTAAACTATGTAACATGATAGTTGATTATTGAATTGTTTGTTTAAATCATTAAAGAAAGTATTTAATAATCAACCGTCACATCATGTGGTTTACAAAATATAGTCTAAAAACATGATTTTCGTAATATTTCTTTCGTGTATTTAGTAAGGGAGGTGATTCTTATTTTCACACCTTTTAAGCTACTGACACACCATTTTTTTATTATGGTCGTTGACTAAAAAAATCAAACGAAATATCGAACAAAATTAAATTTAAGTATATAAGAGACAAAAACAAATGTATTTATCATTTTCTTTTATTAATTGGGTGATATTCAACAAAACTTGGTTATGGCATATGTATTGTATGCACCATAATCTTTCTTCCTCTTATTGAGAGACGAAAAAAGGAGCCGTGGCATACAACCGGTACAAGTTTTTCTCACGTTATTCAAACGCAATTAAGAGACTCAAATTTGGGATTCTTTCCAACCTTGGAGTGATGTTTCCTTAATTCCCTCACGTTAAATCAGCCACTTGATTTGCAAGTGTTGAATTGTTCTAGTGAATAATATCTTTCTTTTCAACTCAATGTGTTATGAGTTCAAAACCTCTCTCATTCCCTTAATATAGCTTAAAGTAGTAATATCGCTTGCAATTAAAAGAAAATAGCCAATTAACTCAAATTTGAGTGTAATCTAAGCCACACTTATTAGTGCGACCTTCACATCGTAACCTGATGTTACATTCAACCGTATTGTGAGTCAACGTCTCATGCACGAGACATGTTAAGTAGATCTACCTGTTAAATTCTCTTGATTTTTGGGTTCGTGTTTGGAAAAAGGGTCTCCAAATCTTGGTTTGCTCTTCAATGAAGGCTTTCTGAGGCCTATGCTCATCGGCAATGCAAGGTTTAGGTCGGAAGAGTTGCGAGTTGACCACCATTGGTGTCACTCTAGGTCAAAACGAGATGCGAATGCTGGTCGGATTCGATTTCCTCCAATGTAACCCTCCAAGAAAAAAGGATCCGGCAGAACTTTGGGGCTATCATCAAAAGTAAATGACCAAACAAAATGAACAGAAGTTCAACGACTTTAACAGAACAGTTGTAACTTATAGACTTGGTGCACTAATATTTCCACCAGAGATGGACGATTTGAAACTCTCGGACCAGCTCTGCTTGACAGAATCGGGACCGTAGAAATCGTTCCTGACGGGGTTCCACATATTCCCTCCAGGACCGCGTGGTGGCATGCCAATATTGAGCTTGGAAGGTCAATCATTCTCTGCGGAAATATTTCTCTTCAGAATACTAGAAACAACATTCTGGGGATCGATCTCAGCCAAACTTTTTGTCTGCTGATGGCAAGAGCCACTCGATATCTGAAACACAAGCAAAGCTACTGGACAAGGTCAACGATCATGGAGAACGGATTAATAAACTTATGTTTGATCACTAATTGGAAAAGAACATACACTAGACTTATTGGTAGGCATCAATGCCTTGAGTGGAACTTCTTCATTTGCTTCTGTCAGGTATCTCTCAACTACTACTAAAGAGTGGAACCGCCTTCCAGTCCCTGGCTCAATATAAGTCTGCAAAAAATGAGAAAAAAAGAAAAGAAAAAGAGAATGGTATTATAGAAATCAAACATCGTAAATGTTCTCTTTTAGAACAAATGGATCGTCTAAATACATTTCACAATGTCAATATCATGCTCATTCTGTGAAGAGGAAAGAAATCTTGAGCACAGAACATCTAAGACCATAGTTTTCCCCACCTTCTCTTTCCCTCAAATCCTTTTGACAACTTCCTTCTTTGCATTCTGTCCAATCTCTCTTCATTTGACGTTTTCAATATACAATAACAACTATTTTGTTCTGTTAGCATAATTTACAGATGTGAAGGCAATAACCGCAATATCTATAGGTTAAGTCGCTGACCCGAAAGAGGGATCAGCTTTATTATAGTAAAGATACCACCTGTACATGAATTTGCAGACTGCATATGTACACATGCCAAGATGCATGCATCTGTGCAATTTCACCTGTGTAACTGTGTTGCAGAATGCAAGTATTTTCAGTAACTACAACCTACATATACCCTTTCTAAAACAAGGAAGAGAAAAACCGCCAAAATTTAGAATATAAGACTAAGAGGTACCTTGTCTATGACACCAGATTTCTTTTGTGGTTTCGCCATTGATTAGAACATTCCACCAAAATTTAGAATTTAAGACTAAGAGGTACCTTATTTATGACACGAGACTTCTTTCGTGGTTTCACCATTGACTAGATCATATATATATATATATAAGAGGGCACAAAAGGTGAATAATTCATAATTTTAAACATAAGGTTAATCTCAATTTACTATCCTAAAAGTTTTATGGTTTTCAACATTTTATACATTTAGTTTTTTTCGTCACAGTCTGGTACTTAAAGTTATAATTTTAAGACATTTTCATACATCCGTTGAGTTTTCCATCAGAACCTTCTTACCTAATGACGTAACCCCCACGTGTCAATATAGGTCACGCGAATATTAATTTTTTTTAAAACCATTAAAAATTATAAATTAAAAAAAAAAATCCTTCGTCTGACCCTCCTTCCCTGCACATCCTCCCTTCCCAAACACCACTTCTTCCTTCCCGACTTCCCCACCCAATTCCTCAACAAAGCACTAAACACCCATTCTTCCATCCAGTGGCGAAGCCACGTGAGGGCGAGGAGTGGCGTCCGCCACTCCCTTCGCCGGAAAACACAGCCCCAGCGCAGGTTCAGCCTCCCCTCCCGGAAAACCCAACCCCTCCATGGCTGTTCTACCTCCGCCACTGTGGTGCACCACGGACCTGTCCTCGGTTCGAGTTCTTGCTTGGGAGGGTCCTAGGGTGTGCGTGTGTATAAGATTGTGGGTATGGATGTTGCTCACGGGTAGAGAGGGAGAGGGTGAGGGCGACTTGAGGGAGAGAGAGCTCGGGGAGCTTCGAAGAGCAGAAGAGGGAGTGAGGGGAGAAAGGAAGAGAGATGAGAGAGGGAGTACGGGAGAAAGGGACAGATATCAGGGGGTGGGCCCTTGGGCTCACCAATTAAGACCCCAAAACTATTTTTAATTAGGAGTGGGGTGTGACATCACGTATAGGCTTGTTTGTATTAATACATTATGAACGACAACAGTTATAACTTGTTTGTATTAATATATTACGAACGACACTTAAACTTTTTACTATATAAAAGGATTTTGTTGTCTACATATTTTTTGGAATTTTGTACGCTTTTAAATTTCGCCCCTCCCCTTAAAAATTTCTAGCTTCGCCACTGTATGAAATGTTGAAAACCAAGAAATTTTAGGGTAGTAAACTGAGATACCCATAAAGAAGTTGCGCAGTTCAGCATACTATACAAAGTAACTCATGACGATGATGCATAACAAACAACAACATTAAAAACCATAATAGAGATATGATATTAATTAACAACCCAACCGTAAATTATTCCAGCTAATTCCACACTAGCCAGTACCAAAGTATGTGCATCCATGTACCCACTAATAATTAAGTGATAAGTGATCAGCTCATCACTAGCTTAATTAATTAGCTAATTAACAGTTTTGTGTGCAAAAGCATCTGCGGCATAAACCCAAGCACCAGCCGCCGCGGAAGCCCATAGTTTGGCAAACAACTGCACAGTTACTCTTACTCGCGCAAGTTCCATTGAAACGGTTACTTGAGACTCACATGTCCAACCCTCAGCAACTATCGTCCTAATAAACAATTATTCCAAACAAAATATGGTTAGTACTATGCATGCTTATAATCGTAATAATATGTATATTAACCATGAAGTTAATTAAAAAGATCAAGCAAGAAGAAATACTACCGGTGGCCATCAAAAGCAACAGGAAGAAGCATATAGTTAGGAGAAACGCATGGAACATTTTTTTATGTATCTGTAACAAGTTTACACTTAAGATTTCAAACTTAATTAGGGTAACTTAGAATGATGCAATCGATATATATATACAGAGAGCTTAAGGGAAGGGATCCCCATTTTTTGAAAAAAATGGGGATTAGGTGTGGGGCCCACTTCACATCAAATTTCAACGATCCGAACCATCTATTTTGTTAGTTTTGATTCATAGATCATCCTTGCAAAAATTCAATTCAATCCGAAACCATTTGCCTATTTAATTATCAATATCAAATTTCATATTTTCTTATATAACAAAGTATTCGTTCATTTCCTTGAACCCAATTAGATGTCTTAAACATTTCCAATTTAGCTAATATTTTGCAAGGATGGTCTATGAATCGAGACTAACAAAATAGACGGTTCGGATCGTTGAAATTAGATGTGAAGTGGGCCCCACACCTAATCCCCATTTTTTTCAAAAAATGGGGATCCCTCCCCTTAAGCTCTGTGTGTGTGTGTATATATATATAAGATTGGATGCAAATTTCTTACTTCTTCTTCTTGGACAAAATTGAACCTACAAACAAATAACACCTTAAGTTAATGCCAAGAGCCTCACGCGCCCACGATGAATTGGGGGGGGGGAAGGCTTTGGTCGAAGAACCTCCGCTGCCAAAGTTAGAATTTTGAGGGAAAAATGTTTGGTGAATTTAGAGAATTTTGCAAGGGAGTTGGAATTGAGTTTTGGAGAAAATGAGATGGTATTTATAGGGGTGTGGCCAGCCCCTTTGGGAGGAGATGGACCGGCCACTTGGATGGTTTTTTTGGTGAGATTCATGATTTGTTGCTAATTAATAAATTAATTGAATAATAAATCAATTAATTAGCTAATTAATATAACTTGAAAGGAAAGATTTGGGGGTTACCTTGTGGAGAATATTTGATGTGGATGGATGAAGTAGGTTTTAAATAAATACCTATTTTGGGCACTTTTGACTTGATTGAGGGATGATCTCCCACTGCTCCCAGTAGAAATCCTGGTGTGCCTCGAGGGTAATCTTGTCATTTTCTACCCAAAAATTCACATGTCGCCTCCATATTTTTCTTGATTATTTTTGGCTCCACAATAAGCTTTTGTAAATTCATACTAATACATCAGGAATGAAGTCTGAGATCTATATGAATCGGGACATCCTAAAAAATAAAGTCACAAATTAAAAGGCTTAAGAATTTACTAACAATGCACATACATTAATCTATAAAATATTTTATACAACATATTACAATCTCTCACGAGGCATTTTCAAGTTTTGAAAGCGTTGCATAACAATTTCATTACCAATACCATCAAATATCTCTTCCTATAACAATAACCATGTTATCATTCATCCTTTTATTTTCTTACAATTTCTCAATTGATTATTTAGAAATTTCATAGCCGAAAATGTTTTATCATGTGAAATTATTATATGCAATATGTACAATTTTTTCACAAAAAAACTAAGTTAGGGCATCCGCCCCTTGGGCCCAAGGTGGCTACGTCCTTGGCAATACCACACATACTATGTAGAAAAATGAGAGAAAAATATGAAAGTGTTTTAAGTAAAAAAAATCTGGAAGAGTCTTTTAAAATGTTATCAAGAAAATATTAATCTTTAAGGATTATTTCTTCTAAAATAAAATAAAATAAAAATAAACAATTAAGTCTTTGCTTAAAAGTTGGTTAAGCAATTTCGAACCTTTTCCTAATTTTTTTCTTGTGCATCAACCTCACCTTGTTTTACGTTTATTACTACAGGTTTAAAAGGCAAAAGAACTTAAGACAACAGAAGGTGTGGATAAAAAAGTACCTCTGAAATCGACAATGTGACTTAAATAATCTTTGTGACACAAATTAAAGTAATGTGTTGAATCCAAGTACACTACGTGAAAATTTTCAATTCCTTGTCAAAAGGGAAAAAAAATATTGCTATTAGCATTTCACGATAATCATCGTGCACTTTTTCTTAATTGAAAGTCAATAAACAAAAGAATAGTTTGTGGTGATTATCTGGAATGTTAATAATAACCCTGAAGAAAAACATATAGGATAATAGGTGACTAAAAGTACGTCGGGTGTGATGAAAACACTACACTAGACATATGAATAATGATCCATGCAGGGTCATTCAATTTATTAGCAAAAGCAACCATGTGGATACAGGGCCATATCAATCCATCACATTACACAAGCACGGTCTCTACACAGATTACATTTCTTTTTAACTAATTAATTAGCACTTTTTGGTGCACACGCAAGCACGGGTGAAGACACTACAATGGCCTCTAGTGAATTGCTCCTTTCTGCAGGTGTGTTTACAGTTGTTAGACGAAAAGCACAACCCTTTGAACAGGGTGCTCGGATACTCGCAGATCTTCCCTTCAACTGCCTTGTTTGACTCAGTCCTTGCCTCAACACCCATTGGCCCCATATCTAAAGATCAATTTTTTTGTTAAGTAAGATGCTTTATTCAAAACATCATAAAAAATTAATTACTAAATAAAAGAGGTATAATTACCGGTAGCAACCAAAAGCAAGACAAGAACGAAGGCGGCTGAAACAAGACGCATTGAATGCTCCATTTGAATCTGTGTGTATAAGTGTGTGCTTGATCTGTGTTTCTATGTGTGTGCTTGTGTATATAAGAGAGATCTCGGACGCTGATGCAAAGAACAATAACCATGTAAGGCTTATTAAATAGTGATCTAGTACAGATTAAAGAGGATCAGTCTCCGTAAAGCAAGGAAGCTCAATACCCAAAATACAAAGTTGAAATTTCTAACTTAAGAGGCACCATAAACCAAATTCCTATTTTTGTTGACTAAGTTCTCCGCCATACATTTTTCTATGCACATAGAGTTTCTTTTTCGAGCACATTTAACTTTTGCTTTTAAAAGAATACTTGGGTTTTAAGCACTTTGACTTATTATTCACATTTTTAAATGTAAATGATGCGGCATATATATATCTCACATAAAAGACCATAGTTCTTATAACAACATAATTGTTTTTACACAAGTTTTAATCTGTCTGTACCAAACTAATCTAAATTATATAGATGCGGATTTGCACATTAGGTGTAGAGGAAGATTATGTTGCTTTAGGTAAGATGGCTAAGCCTAATAAAATGAATGTTAAAGTAGAAGCATTGAGGAAATGATGTTCAATCGTATTTCAAAGGTAGGGCATTACAAAGACCTAAATTTGTTGACAAATAAAGAAGGGGTTAATCTCATTTTACTACCCTGAAA